GAAGGAAGGATGATAGAGGGAAGAGAAAAAGGTGAGGAATAAAAAATTGAAAGCGACCGAGGAGAGTTGTTTCCCCTTCCTTGTGTTAGGTATGAGAGATCGGAACAAAAAAACACTACTTTCCTTTCATTCCCTTTTCTTCCTTCCTCTTTCCCTCCTACCAAACATAGTGTTAATGTATCACTACAACGTATGATTTGATAGAGAACGCAGGTGGTACCCAGAGATTGCGGTCAGCTTAGACTGTCAAAACAGAGTTACTGAATCAAATGAAAGGGAGCGAGCTAGTTCTAACTCTAAGTCAAACTTTACCAATTCAAAGAACATAAGCAATTTGATCCTTAAAATCAATCACATAAACATCTGTATCATTCAAACTCCAAAACTTCCTCCAGAAACAAATACTACCCAGAACCCAAAATAAGTAGAAAAGGACATGAAAGAGTAAAACAAGAAAATTCATAACTGTAGAATATGAATTCTCGAGAGAGAAGAAAAGGTAAAGTTCTTTATTTTTGATCCACGATGTGGATAACGTGAAAGAATGCAAATTATAGCACAATATTCGATTTTTCTGACAAAATAAAAAACAACATATCAACGACAAGCAACGAGACAGTGAAGGAAACGAGCAAAACGTACCCAAGAGTGTAAATTCTGAGAAAAACAGCAGAGTCGAGGCCAGCATGGTTGATAATCTCAGTCTCACTCATCTTCAAAGCTTGAGGCATCCAATTCAAGAAAGTAAGATAAGTCATGAAATTGAGGTTGACAAACTTTGCCACAAAATTCCCACCCCTTCTCGGGCTTGTTCTTCCTCCATTGATGTACCATTTTGGGAAGTAAACTCTGTCGTTAATTGGTTGAATCCTCAGCAGAGCAAAAGCCAACAAGAAAGCAAATGCACTGAGGATGTTGATTAAGGCAGACACCCCAATATCACCCAGAGTTGCCATGGGAGAAAAAAAAAAGCAAAGCAAAGCAAAAGAAGGCAACAAAGACTACAGAGAAAAACAAAACATGTGAAAGTTTGAAAGAGATAAGAGAAAGACAAATGGTCCGAATTATGTGACTGATGATGCAAGAATAGAATGAAAGAAAAGGATAAATATTTTTTTAAACTGGGAAAGAAATGGATTTTTGATCTGTCAAGGCTGCTGTCCTCGATTCAGTTGTAATCACCTCCTATAATTAAATTGGGTTCTTAATAATTTAATCAAGGATGTGGTTAATTTTGACTAGGAAGTGTTTCCATGTGCATGTGACGCTGAAAGCATGAACTGTTTAGTTTATTGGAAGTGTGCTGGAATGAGAGAGAAAGGTGGGGGCGATGATGATGGGCATACATCCAGGGGATTGTTTTTGTTATTGTTTTTTGTTCGGGGTTGGGGTTCATGTGTTGGTTGCTGCTAATCTTTTGTTTTCTTGTGAAAGTCTTTTGATTAAAGAATCTGAGAAAGGGGGACTCTTTGTCTATTGGGTCTCTTTCAGTTTTCATCTTTTCCTTGCGGTGGAAAAGCTCGTGGTTGGATTGTGATCATGGCAGAGTTGCCCCTCCCCACCATCAGTGCCCCAAAATCAGGCAAATAAAATATGACTCTTACTCAGATTTACTACTAAAGATAAAGCCATAAACATAATAAAGAAATGATGCCTCATCTTTTTGTATAATCTTTATCTCCTTTTCCTTCCAAAAAGCTAACATAATTTATTCCCTTTGATAATCTTTGGTATTCATGACTGATAGGCCCAAAAGATTTCTTTGCATGACTTAAAAACTTTTTGTTTTTTTCTTTGAATAAGAGTGGAATATTTTCCATCAAGGAACAATATTTAAAACAGTACAGGTAAATTGTTTGGTCTGCAGTTGAAAGCCTTTGCCCATTTGGTAAAGGGCGGTGGAGCAAGTGCACCAAAGAGTGCTACAAGTCTTTAAACTATTGCATGCCACACAATTATAATAATACCTTGGAATAAGTTAGGTTGCTATTCACTTTTTAGTTACCCTTTTGGGCGGGAATATGCCCTATCCCTCCCTTGCCGTTAATGGTCACTATGATCATTTAGTAGTTTTTCTTTTCACCTTACACCATTATATTTTAAATATGAATAAATAATTTAATTTTTAAATTAAAGATGTTTTTATAATTTCTCAAAACATAACTTATCCATAAAATTTTTATAACATATCTCATGCAATATTAGAGGTAAGGTTTATGTCCCTTCTCTAATATATTTAGATTTTTCATTTTAATAAAATTTTAACAAAGTAGTTAGACTTTTGAGATCTTCTAACTTCAAGAAAAAAACTTTTCTATAAATTTAATTAAAAAATTATAGACTGTTATGCGAAAAAAATTAAAATTATCATAGTTTTGGATAGAGTTTATATTTAAATAAAAATATATTTGTTGATAATAATGGACTTCTTAAATTATCCAAAAAAGAACAAGTAAAAAGAGAGCAAAGGTGGACTTTTGTCCAAGCCCGGCTACCAATTGGTCAGGCTCTCATCTGCCATTGCAGGCTTGGATGGGCTGGTGTCAGTTGGGCATCTTTTAGCGCATTAAAAGCAACAAATTCTTTAAGCCCAAGTTAAAAAAAATAAGGAATAGAAAAATATTGATATAATTCTAAAACAATCTTTAAATTATTAAAAAAATCAAATAAATAATTAATTTTTTATTACATTTAATCAAATTTTTATATTTTCATTTTGTGTCAAATAAATATTTATGACTGAAGGTTTACTAATAATTGTTAATCAAAATGTTACTTATCATTTTATGTTAGGTGATGTTAACGTGACATGTTAATATGTCACAATGGATAATGATATAATATGTTGATGTAGAGTGTAGTATGATTAGAAGATATTTTTTTCTTCCATGTCAACACTACACTAACATCATATGAGTATAAAATGATAAGTATTATTTTGACTACAAATAATTAATCGATTGTTAATTATAAAGCTTTATTTGATCTAAAAATCATATAAGTATTTGATTAAATACAATTGAAAAATAAAGATTGATTAAAAGTCTTTTAAATAATTTAAGAGTTTTTTCAAGCATTATGCCAAAACCATTTTCTCGTTGGTTGACACTTAAGGAAGGTAAATATCACGAATTATTATACTCTTCTCAAAAAGTTAATTTATTGAAATGTGCAAAGTTCATGCTTATAATACTTATCCACCTTTCAAAATTTTCTTATTACCCTACATGAAATTAAAGCATTTTATTTTTTTTTTTTGAAATACTTGGCTCAATGTAAACATGTTTTTACTTGTAAATAGTAATATACATACATTAAAAATTGTCAAAGGACAATTGAGAATCTAATTGTTGGCCACCCGGTATGGTCAATTGGTACATGCTTGCCCTTTTTTGAAAAAATAAGGTTTTTTTTATAGTTTTTTTTAATTTTTGGAGGTCATGGTATTTTTGTCTTTTTCTAATATCATGGCTCTAAAATTTTTTTCTTTTATTGGAGTGTTGTCTTGCTTTCTCTCTTGGTTAGAGGAAGAATTTGGAGAAAGAATGAGAGAATGGGGTTAGGAATGAGGAGAGAAAAGAGATAAAGTTCGAGAGAGTTAAAGGTACGAACAAAGAGAAAATAAATAAATATAAAATTATATTTGTGATTTTTTTAATTAATTGAACATATTAAATAGAGAAAAACTATCTTTTCTCTTATTTTTCTTTTTCTTCTCTATCTTCTTTCCTTACCCATTGTTTTACGTTTTAGTTAGTTATTTTATTTATTTAATTTTAATTTATGCATTAATTTAAATTTATAAATTTAATTTTAAAATTGATAAGAATAAAAAATAAATAATTGAAAATTAATTTAATAATTTTTTGTTTATCACATTTTTATTATTTGAGTTATTATTATTATTATTATAATTATAATATTCTTGTTTCCATATAGAAATTAGAAACTTTGATCTAAGTTTCTAATTATCTTTCTTTTTATCTTGTTTGATTTGTTTATTCAAACTTTTATTATTTAGATTCTTTATTATTTTTAATTTTATAATATTATTACTTTTATACAGAAATTAAAAACTTTTCATGTAAGTTTTTAAAAGTGTGTAATTATACTTCTCTATTATACACAACAATTTACTAAAACTGTTGTGAGATTGAGTTTAGTTTTTTTTTTCTATTATTCTTATACAATTTTATAAAAGATGGAATACTTATTGTTATTATTAGGAAAAAAGCTCCACAGAGATCAAATATTAAAGTCATTGAAATGTTAGTCAATTATCATGTATTTTATATGTCCCTTGTATACTATAGCTTACATTCACGACTCTTAAAATAGATTACCACTTAAATAATTATACAACTTTTGACATATTCTATACACATTGTAATTGATAAATAGCTTCATAATTAGTTACGTAAAATGAGCACCATATGATTATTAAAATGTAGATATATTTAAATAAATATTATTTTATACATCACACAAGCATATTCTAGTAACTATAAAACATGGCTCAAATCTCAAATTCAATTAGAGATGACACTAAACTATGTAGTTAAATTAATTTGAGAAACAATGCGAGTTTAAAGAAATTGTGTTTTCTCTTTGAGATCTTTGAATGTTTTTTGTTTGTTTGGCTTTTAAAAGAACAAATACAAACAACATTGATGAGTCAAAGGATGATGCCAATCATATCCCCTTCTATTTTAATTCATAAATGAACATAACGAGGTTTTGCCAAATAAAAAAAAGACTCTTGATAATTTCACACTAGCTGACAATGAACATTGTTCTTATATTCTCATAATCTTCCAACAATGCTTCATTTTTCATCCTTTTGTTGACCTTTTCTTTTCATACTCTGCTTAGTGCCAATATACGGCCGACCCTTCATTTCCCAACAACTAATATTTATCTTCTAGCAAATTCTTCCTTAATTCATTACCCCTGTTTATTAGTCCCAGAAGAGTTTTCATCTTACATACATTGGCTGTAACATGGCGGATCATCAAGAGAGTTCTGAAGTTCAAAGCAACCAAGAACTGCAGGGACCAACGACATCGAATGATCAGGAGATAAACAGGTTGACCTCGGACGAGCATGACATTTCCTTGAAGATGGAAAGAGCCAGGGAAGCTAACAGGACTTATTCGAGGCTCGAGCCTAAGCCTGAGAGACAGGAAATTTGGGCTTGGTATGCATATGAACTCTGCTCTTACTTCGTTCATACAGCTCTTATACCTATAGTGTTTTCTCTCATCATCGGTCAAATTGTTGATTTACCTTCTGAGCCACCTCGGGGATGGAGTAAGAGCAACAAGGGCTTGACTTGCAAGATCAGTGAAATGCAACTGTAAGTGTTCATTTCTCAAATATCATCAACGCTTGATTCTGTATAACATGTAAGTTTAAGCACATAGTTCCAAGTCCTTTTCGTCTTGGACCTAGAAAAATAAATGCATGAATTTCTTTTCCTATACTTCACCAAGTTCTAAAGCCATAAGAGGAACAGGGTATAACGTGACAAAAGAGTCAAGTTGGGGGTCAAACCAGATATGCTCAGACATGTTTTATTTTGTTATAGCTGTTGCCAACTGCCATGCCATTGATGAAACTATGCGTTTAATTACAGGTACGAGCGACTTACACGTCGTTCAATACCGATTGGCGATTCAAAAGTCTCCCCGTTGGAGTGGACTTCGATCTCTTGGGCAATCGGCCTAATTCTGGCTGGCCCCGCTCTCCGTTTCATTTCCATCAAACTTGACCACGGCCGGAACCAGCAAGTCATTGCTGGAGCTGCAATAGCCATCGGGTCATTCTTTTGCCTACCGGTTGGGTTCTTCAAAGTCACATGGATCTTCCCGCTATATATTGCTCCAATCGTGGTTGCCATGACCGTGGCTACTGCCTCCCACACCCGCCATCATGGCCTGATGATCCGAGGCTTCACAGGACCGATCCTTCAAAGACATCAATTCCCAGTTAGAAGAGGTGTCTCGAGTTGGCTGTCGTTCTATGCAACCGCTGCTGGTTGCCTGGGTTCAGCTGTGATAGCAGCATTTGTGTATTATATGCTTCGAATTCGTGACACATTTACCGGCCTGTGGGTTGTCTCCATTTTTAGTGGACTCAAATGGCTAGCTGGAATAGTTCACGTACTTACCTTAAGGCATGGGGCAACCGTTTCCTCTACTCTACCAAAAGACCATTTTCTCACCGTTTTTAAGTATCATCATGGAGTTGGAAGCCTCATAGTTGTTGGTCTTTCATCATTCACATCAATGTGCATTTTCACGGGAGGGCTACTCTATTTAGTCGGCGAACTCTGCCTCAAGCCTGTGTTCTTGCTCTACTTCTGGCTGATTTATTTCATTTTCCCCTCGGTTTCTCTGCCATTATTGCAACCGCTTCAGCTTGCCTTAAAGACAAATGCTGTGAAAATGCATCTACTTGGACTCATCTTATCACTAATAACTTCAGGGACAGGTTTCCATTTTCGGAATGACAACTGGCAGAAACATCACATCCTGATTTTCGCCGCACTGCAAAGCACGTCGACAGGAGTCTTGCATGCCTTCGGACGAGTTTTACTGACTGACTGTTCACCAGTCGGGAAAGAAGGTGCGTTTGCAATCTGGTACTCTTGGGTGAAAATGGTGGGAACTTGTTTAGGCTTTGCGCTAGCGTCAGGAGCAGCCGCTGGAAACGTCGGAACTTCCTTCGGAATCGCGTTCTGCACCGCCGCTGGTGCGATGTTAATCTCAATTTATGGGAACATCAGCGAAGTGGCAGGCGCTGTAGCCGCAGGGCTTATTGCTGAAGAGGGTGAGACGGTTTCTTCACTCCCAACCCTAAGCGGCTTGGATGATAGCAATCTCAATATCAATGGCGATGACAGTCCAAAGAAACAGCCCGCGCCCGTGGGTGAGGAAGTGCGTAGGAGGGTAAAAGAAAGAATAAATTAATGGGTTTCTTTTGCATCGTAATTCTTTGGAAATAACCTGGGCAAAATGGAAAAAAATTTGTAGCACTAATCTTTCAAGCTGCATGTGATTGTAATTAGTTAAGTTACATGTGTGCGGCATAATTTTTTTATTATAAGGAACTTTAATTCCACTTTTTTTAATAATTGGAAATGTAATTTTATTAAGTAATCTCTATGCTCATAGCCTGTGGGGAACTTATTTATTTATTTTTGTAAAATTGGAGGATTTATAGGAATTTGATTTGTCAAATGAAATCTAAAAATAATTTAATTATCAATTTATAAAAAGAAAATAAAATAAGTAGTATTTAGTTTATTTTATGAAATAATATTATCATTTTACTATTTAATTGGTGATAATAGTTTCAACATAAATAATAAAACTATAAAAATATATTATATATATTATAATTTAATCATATTTTTATCAAAATACAAATGGGTGGAAGTTCCAAGCCTCTTTAAAATCTATTTAAAGTAAGCATATTGAAAAAAGCCTTTCTTATTGTATATTGGAAAGTACTTTAAGCTGACATAGTCAACAAATTAGGCTTTTCTTAACAAATGCATTCTAAATTTATAATGTCCACTAAAATTCAATTAGCTTTTCAAATCTATCAAACACTTATAAGAGAGAAAATTTAAGAAAACTATCTAGTCATCAAATGAGCAAAAAGGGACATTTAACTTAAAAGAAATTTTTAATTAATTTTAATTTGATAAAAGTGAGATGAGATCATAAATGTCTGAAATTCACTACTTATTAGAAAGATAAAAAGAAATTTGTATTTTACATTTCCATAGATGTTAAACCTTTTTTATGTATACATATAATCATGGAATTAAGGGTATAAACCATGTGGGATGATAGTATTTAGTGGTATTCCAAAAGTGTAATGCTCTCTTGAATTGTTGGTAATAATATTAATAACAAACTTCTTTTAAATTTTAAAAATATATGCATTTTCCGGTTTATAATTTTTATTTTTTCTTGACATTTGAACTCTTTTGTTATCGAAAACGAGTGCACACAAGGAATTGTTTCACCATGGAAAACATATAAAGTATAAGAAGAATCAAGGGGAAAATTTTTTGCTTAAAAAAGAGTTAAGTAAATTGTAATTAGTGTTGTCATTTACTAAAGAGAGATTTTGTAATTAGTACCAAACAGGGAAAAAGAAAAAGAAAGAAAGAAAGAAAGAGGAAAAATGACTTGGGTTGGGTCACGCTAATCCCTGAGCCCAAACACTCCCTTTTACAGTCCCTAATCGCAGGCAGCCTAAAACCCCAAACTGCCATTTTGGTTGCGGAAACCAACAGTTAAACGATGCAGAGATTGTGCAGCAAGCTCCGGTGTTTGGCTCTTCGATCAACCCAAACTCTTCCCTCTCTCTCCGCTTCTCGTCGCCTTCTCCATCACTCGTCTCCTGCAATCCCTTTGATTTCAACGAAATGGAGCTTCAACTCCCTCCTCAATAACAATGCCGCATCACCTCCCCTCGCCGTCAAGTCATTCCTTTATTCTCCACTGCATCTCTCCGTAAGCTTCTGGTCCCTTTTCATTTTCCTGGGTTATGGAAGATTTTTCATGCTTTTTACGAAATTATGTTTTCTTTTTAGGTGGTACAAGTCCGGCATGTTTCGTCGAGAGAGCGAGCCAAGAGGAGGAAGCCTATGACTCCTCGTACTTCCAAAATCAAGAAAATAAAGATGAAATCTTATTCGTAGGTTCATGCTTTTGTAGTCGCAGGTTTTTGTTTGGGGGAAAATATTTTTAGATTTGTTTGGTTTAATCGTCTAATTTGGATTTGATTAGGTCCTATAAGTCCAGATTTAGGGTGATGAGCGATGGGACTATTCGTCGCTGGAGGGAAGGCAAAAATCATAATGCACACTTGAAGGTAACGCCATTTTTGTATTTCTTCCAATTTAATGTTCTTATTTTGGGTTGGGGTCCTTTTTTGAGCTGAGGAAATGCTTCATTTTATATAGCAATTGTTCTCTATATGCCCTTAGTGCTACTAAAATTCTGATTTGTAAGAGAAGCAACCAATAAGAACAAGTTGCCTAGGATAGTTACTAACTTCTAATATTATCAAGGATAAATATAATTGTAGATGTCTCAGTGTCAGTGAGGTTGCGTGCTAATGGCTTTTAAACAGGGTTATTGAGGAGTACAAGGAAATCAGCTAATTTTTAATTGTTAGAGATTTGAAAGCTCCTTTTTATGAAGCCAGTTATGGAACTGCCTTTTAACATGTCTATCTATTAATGTTCAACCTTCTCAGTTGCTTGTGGAATTTTGATATAATATATGTATCAAGCTGGATTATGTGTGTGTGTGTGGCTGTGAGATGTGATGGGGGGAATATAATGGTGTGTGTAGCCTTACTTTGAACTTTTAATGCAGCATGAATTTTTGGGTTTCATGTTAAAGGGGTATTCAGAAGAGTTTCCTTATCATTTTAGGGTAGTAACATGGGCTCCGTGGCATAATTGCGGTGTTAACTATTCAGTTATGGATATACTAGTTATATACTTTGGTTTGCGTATTCTGGTAATTTGAAGCCTGACATTGTTGAAATGCATCAAATCACAACCATGAACTTTTACTGCAAATTTTGGTTCACTCCTTGATGGGGAGCAATGGTTTGATGCAAGTATAAAAAAGGGGGGAAGATCAAGAATATAAAGGCAAGCAGAGGCAAATGTTTATGGCTTCTGCTGGGCAGGAGGAATGATGCTGTGATGTGTGTGCATGCACGCATGTATATTTCCTTTGATATGGTTTCTTGTCTTCTTGTATGTTTATAATTATTGTTTCCAGTGGATCTTACACTCTTGCTGTTCATTTAATGACATTATTTCTAAATTTATTAGATTTAAAAATAGATTAGTCTGGTCCCTGTTGGTGTTCAGAAAAATCTTCAAGATTGTACAGAAGATATCTTGAAATTATCTATTATGGATAAAGACCTTTGGCCGAAGGCTGCAACATTGTTCTTTGGTATTATACAGAATTATTGTGCTTAAAGAAGCTTATGCTTTAGTGAATAGATGCCTTAGAGATGGTTGTCACCAATAAACTAAATGTTGGAAATCACGAGATCTCAAAATCATTTTCCTTTCCTCTTTCAAGTTCAAGCAGGATAATTTAATTATATTTCCTTCGTTTTTTATTCTAAAGCTTCTCTTAACTCTTCTAAGTCTTGAAGAGCAGATAAAGAATGTTGAAAACCAATGACTCATCTTGCAATGTAGTAATATCTTGTTGTATAATGCAGTCCAAAAAATCAAGACGGCGACTAAGACAACCTGCTATAGTACCAGCTGCATATGCGAAGGTGATGAAGAAGCTCAATTTTTGTGGTTAAAATATCTAGAAGCCATCATCTTTGGACATGAGATAGGAAGGTGTCTGCTTCTGCGTTTTCCTTGGTGCCCTCTGAAAGGTTACATTCAACTATATGACACAAACATGTAGTAGCTGGAGGATTGGGAAACAATTAATAAGCTTTATGTTATGTGGGGTTTTTTTTCCTTATTAAGCCATGGGATGCTTATTTTGATTTTTGGGATTACTGTGGATTATTAGTAACTGTTGATAATTCCTTTTACAGCTTCTTGTGGAGGGGCTTGTTGCATTTTGAATTGATGTTGATACCATAGGTACTAGTAACTTAGAGAAGGTCGGCAGCATATGATCTGACATTGCCATGCACGTAGCCTTCCTGGTGTAACACACCGCGAATGCTCCGAGTGAAACATTGATTTTTCTTCTCTCTCTTGATATATTATTTTTATACCATTATTCATTATAAAGCTCATCGTTTTATTTTAAATCAAATCACGGGATGTGTTATTTTTATAATTTATCCTATTAAAAATAGAGGTGACAAAGTTAAATCCATAGAAATGAGATTAATAAAAACATGATTATATTTTATTAAAAATGTGAGTTAAATCTGAAAAATTAATGGCTCGAACTGAGTTATTTTGCATTCGATGAAAATATAATTTATTTATATACATTAAGCTTAAACAATATCAAGTTGAAAAAAAAATTAAACTCTGCTAATTAGATTGAAATCTTTTGTATCGGAACATTTGATTTAAAAATTTAAATAGAGACAGATATTAAAGATCGAAATTTTGATTATAATTCGAATGCCTTGGCACAGATCCAGCGTGCCAGTCTTTCGTTCACTCTTGGATTTTTTTGGGTACTTTTGCTTCTGGGGCTCCTGTCTCAGCCCATTTTGAAAATTGGAATTCCCGCCCAGGGAGACCAAACCACCGAAGCTCTCAACCTTGGTTAAAACCGTGCTTCTCGTAAATGTACCAACCAGTTATCGTTTTGCTTTTCAGATGCTGCAGAGTATGCCAGTGAAAGCCAGATTGCACGCTTCCCGATGCGGTGGCCTTCCGCTTTTGCTCTGCTTCACGCACGTTTGAAATTCCTTTTTTGTTTGGTTTCGAACGATTTTATCTTTGAAATCACCTATATTACTTTTATTGGTTTTTCGTTTGTACCATTATAGTTATGAAGCCATGCGGAAAATCCAAGCATGAATCCGGATCTTGGTCTCTTTCTTTAGTCAAAAGCGGAGACGAGAAGGAAGAGAGGCCAGTGCCTCTAGCTGTACACCTCCCGGAAGGAATGGCAGCCGATAATAAGCTTCGACCTAGAAGATTCCCGAGCCTCTTCCCCGTTGCGCCAGCTTATGACGTTTGGTCGTCGTGGAAATTCTATAAGGAAACGGTGCACAGGAGCTGCCTGAGAAGGTCATCGAGGCTGTCGGGGTTTGTTGGGCAGGAAAGTGTCAATGTGGAGCCCATTGTGAGTGTGGAAACGGAAAGGGATGACAAAATTGAAAATAAGGACAGTCATTGTCGAATAAATAAGGTCAGAACATTTGTGGACTATAAGAGTCTTAGACGGTCGCCCAGATTTCCTTCCACTTCTGCTGAAGCTCAGAG